TCAACTGGATTGCGCCCGTAGAACCTTGACCGTGCGGTCTCAACTGGGGGCCATGGTGCTCACGGTATCACCGATCCGCTCGGCCCCGACGCCCTGTTCTCGCAGGTCAGTGGTGCACGGATTAATCATTTACCTTAGGCGATGCTGACATACTGTTGAAGGGCGCCATCAAGGCGTCGGCTAAGGGCCAGGTACTCGCGACCGTGAACGTAAGTCTTTTCCCCAGCTTCTTTGTGGTGTGGAGTTTAAGTCCTTCTTTCTAGCCGGGCTCTAACACGGTCTCCCTGTTCTCCATTGACCCGAAGACGCCGACGAACATCCAGCCTCTGGGTGATCCCATCTCGTCCGAGGGCGAGTTCCCTATGTCCCTCGCGTTTAACAGCGACGGGAGCCGTCTCTGTGTGCTCAACGGCGGCACAGTCAACGGTGTCATGTACGTTGATATCCCACTCAGGCATCGCCCACCTATCTGACGATGAAATGCAGCTGCTACAACGTGGACAAGAAGAACGGCTTGTCCGCGATGTCCAACACCCTTCGCTCGCTCGGCCTGAACCAGACCACGCCCGCGACGGGTCCTCCGGGAACCGCCAGCCACCTCGTCTTCAGCGAGGACGGCAAGCAGCTCCTCGCCTCCGTCAAGGGCGTCCCGCCGAACCCCGGCATGATCGCTGTATGGGACGTCGCCGACGACGGATCGCTCTCCGCCGACTTCAAGGCCGTGGCACCCCCCTCTGGTGGTCTCCTTCCGTTCTCGATGACGATCGTGCCCGGCAAGAACGCGGTGCTCTCGACCGACCCGGGCATCGGCTTCGACGTGTTCGACCTGAGCGGCGGCAACTCGAGCTCGGCGGTGGCGATTGACGGCCAGAGCGCGACGTGCTGGTCGAGCTTCAGCACCAAGACGGGCAACTTCTACCTTACTGATATCGGCACTTCGATTGTGACTGAGGTGAACATCGACGACAACCTCAAGGCGTCCATCGTCAAGGTATGTACAATATTTATGATTGTGCTTCCTGCCGTCCCGACTCATGATATCCTTCTTGCAGCAATACCCGCAGACCAACGGCTCCTCGACGATCGACAACGACATTGCCACCGTCAACGGCAAGGAGTGGGTAGCGTTGCCAATCATCTGCGAATGTGTATGTTGCTGACTTCCATCCTATAGCTTCATGTACGTGCTCGCCCCCGGTACCCAGAGCGTTGAGGTTCTCTCTCTCGATGCGCCCGGCAAGGCCCAACACGTCCAGTCGCTCCAGATTTCTGGCCCCGCAAAGGCATCTGGTGTGACAATCAGTACGTTTTGTTTCCACATGCCCTCATGATGCAAACACTGACACGCCACCGCTAGGCACTAACAACCTCCAGGGCATGACCGCCTTCCTCCGTCAGTAGACTGATGTTGCCCATTGCCATCTTTCTCGCTGCTTCGCGTGTTGCGCCCTTGACGTGATGACGATGGATGCGTCAGTTCGGTCTGGTTCGCTGTCTCTATACTAGAGTTCTCATAACACCTGCTGGTCTTGGATGTATCATAAACATTTTTATTGGAACAATCGGGTTTGAAGTCAACTGAAACTATTCTGTGTCGTACCCCTGACCAACCACACGAGCCAATTTCCGCCATCCGTGGTCAAAAGTAAGCCGCTTCAAGTTACAACTCGTGGATAGTTTACGTGCGACGCGTCCTGTAGCATCACATGATCGTGACGTAGCGTGTCTGGCGCCCATAATCGCGAAGTAAACTCCTCCGAGCGCTATCAGAGCACACCTCGACTTATACCAACGTTGCTCAATTGTGTTTCTGCTAGAATGCACCGTTCTTCCTGCTAGACTGGCCTGACGATGATAGTATGCTCGCCGTACCTATCTTGGTCCACAACGGGCAGGGAGATAGGCATAAGAGGATGATCACATGGCCATGATCAGACTTCTTAGCCGGCGGGAGCAGTTAGAGCCCCGTCAGTGGTGAGAGCCACAGACGTCCTCAGCCCCGCTTCGCTCCTTTGGCTCTGCCCACGACGTCTCTGCCTCGCCCACGGATACTGCACCTCCCTGCTCTAAACGATGGCGAACGGCTCTGACTCTGGTCAACCGCCTCAATACCGCGCGTAGGCACCATCAGTTTCCCGTTGAGAGCAAGGCGAATACTAATCAGGTCTTTACACTAGTGTCGGGGTCGCCCTTGCTATTGGATCAGGAGTGCTCATCGGCTCCTCGTTCGTCTTCAAGAAGAGAGGACTATTGGCCTCACAGAAGGGACATGTAGCCGGCGAAGGTGTTGCCTATCTCAAGTCGGTACGTTCTCTCGCAACACCTCCTTACCACACGGCAACGCGAACATCGCTCGTATTGACGCATTCCGTGCAGCCTATGTGGTGGACAGGGATGATCATCATGATACTCGGCGAGCTGTGCAACTTTGGCGCGTACGCATTTGTAGAAGCCATCATCGTGGTAAGCCGACCTCTGTATGAGCAGCGTTGGCCTGCATGACCTGACGGATCGCGCAAGACACCAATGGGAGCGCTTTCTGTCGTCATCTCGTCGATACTCTCGCACTTTTTCCTGCACGAGAAGCTCTCCCTCTTCGGTTGGATTTCTTCCATTCAGTGTCTTCTCGGCGCGACGATCCTGGCCTTGAACGGACCCGAAGAGCAAAGCGTGTCAACTATCGAAGGGTTCAAGCACCTTTTCCTCGCTCCATGGTTTCTCGCATATGGTAGCGTAGTGCTTGCAGCAGCCGGAGTACTTGCGTTCTGGGTTGCGCCGAGGTGGGGCAAGCACAGTATGATGCCCTATCTGGCGAGTTCTTCCGGCCTCAACTCACTTCTCTGGACATATGCTGATATATGGACGTAGGGTGTATGCAGCCTTATAGGTGGCTTGAGCGTAAGCTGCACACAGGGCTTAGGCGCGTCTATTGTGACATCTATTCGGGGTGACAACCAGGTGAGTCGAAGATTCTGACTGTTCCATGCATGTATACTCATACAGTGTGCCAGTTCAAGAATTGGTTCATCTACTTCTTGCTCGTGTTCGTTATCGTGACCCTCTGTAAGTCTAGTAGGCCTGTCCTAGTTGCTGATACTAAACTGATTATATCACAGTGACGGAAATTTACTATCTCAATATAGCACTAGCTATGTTTAACACCGGTGTGTCCAACATGCTCCTTTCAGTCCGCTCAGATGAACTGACCGAATTTGATCGTAGCCATGGGTAAGTTCTACGCAGATGTATATCGCTGAGCTTTGGGACTGAGTGTGATTATGCAGTCACACCCACCTACTACGTTACCTGTAAGCCCTGCACTTTCTTCCGACCTGGAGAACCTTCTGATAATAGTTTCTCAGTCACGTTCTGCACACTGGTGACCTCTGTGGTACGTCAACTAGACTACCGACGTGATCGCCCATACTGAACGGGCCCGGTCATTTGAAAGATTCTATATCAAGGCCTCAAAGCGAGCGCGTCACAAATCATTACCATTGTGCTCGCTTTCGCGGTCATCTGCACTGGCATTGTAATCCTACAGATGACAAAGGTCGATCCCAGGACACTGACGAACGTGCGTCCCATATTCTTCGTTCAGTGAGCTATATTGATAGCACCATGTCTCCAGGTCGACGAACGGACCACCCTGCTTCTCGAAGCCGCACGGCAAGAAGTCGACCCTATCTCGGCACAGACTGTCGAGCTCGGTCCATCGGGAACGTTGCGCTCACGACGCTCGCGACTTTCCCAACGTTCCCGTCGCATGCGATCACACGCGTCCACGGCCGCTGCCATTGACGGCGAGGAGCCTGATCCATCGGCAGCACGCTCGACTGACGACCTCGAGGCAGGGCTGCATTCGGATGCAGAGTCCGAGTTCGATCTCGACCCGCTAGAGGAGAAGCGTGCCATCGTTGCGAAGACCGAGGAACCTGGCATCGACTCATTGCGCATGACCGGCGGCGCCATTGGTACCTTCATACGTGCTCGACGGCGCGCGACGGCACTCTCTGCCGCCAGTGCGACCCGAAGTCGCCTTTCACAGCCTAGCGTCGGGAGCGTGCACAGCGGGCAGATGAGACCGCGTAGCAGCACTCGCGGGAGTTCTGTCTCGCCCACGATGGGGACTCGACCTAGCTGGTTCAAAGCACTTACCGCACGACGCACCGCGGAATCGGAGACCGACCATAATGCGCCTCCGTATCCCCAAGCACACGACCTTGCGGAGATATCGGAGAAAGGCCCTGTGACGATCTCGACGACCGAAGTGTCTGGCCTGCCCCCGACGATCACAGAGAGCCCCCTTCCGAGCACCGCGGATTCACCTCGTCCAGCACGGTTCCTTAGCAGCGGGGATCTCGTTGCATCCCCGATGCTCACTCCTTCGACCACGGAAGGCGCGCGAACAGCGAGCGTCCGTTTCCAGCCAGACCTGCGCACTGCTCTCTCCGCCCCCGACGTCCGTCCGCAACCTCATGACGTATACCCCTCCCGTCCGAGCTTAACTACCGGCGGTGACGATGCTGCAGCCCGGTCGCGGACGATGCCTCTTGCGTTCACACCGGCGGAACGTCTACGTGCGGAGGACATTGTGCGAGAGAAGCCTGCTGATTCATGACACGACTAGTACGGAATGACTGATATGTATGACCTGCGACGACTTCAGCGATGCCTTTTCTTGGTGTATTCGATGCTTTATCTTTATTCTGTCAATCTAAGCTTGTATTAATACTACTATTGGTGTGTTTCATGCCCTTGGCGTACTACATATGATCGAATACGATGCGCTTATACTGAAGGCTGCATTAGGCCGAGAAAATGACCGACTGTGGAGGGTTCGAGCCTGCTCAGGTTTTCTCAGTTCCTCGCTTTGCACTTTCGTTAACACCCTCTTCCGGGCTAGCGCTCACTTCTCGCTTACGCCCCTCCTCCTCCCAGGCCCATCTGACATGTATACAGCTAGAAGAACCCGTAGATACAGTGCTAATAAAAAGAATCGACGCCAGCAGGATTCGAACCTGCGCCTCCAAAGGAGAACAGATCATTCACATTCTAATCTGTCGCCGTAACCACTTGGCTATAGCGCCTTATTACCCTCCACCCATTTATTAGCTATAATTCGTAGGCCAGTATGATTTTCCTAATGCCGCTTAAATACCTTGTTGCCGTTAACACTATAGCGCGTAGCAATGTCAGGCCCTAGTCTGCTACGAAATCGAGGGGTCGTAGGGGAGGCTGAGGAAATGGCTTGCGGATCACCGTGCCGAGTGATGGCCGATGTGCCGCGGTGGCTGAGAGGCTCTCAGTCTCTGCGACTTTGGACTTGTGGGCTCCGTCAGTACGCTCTACCGTACTCGTCGACACGGCTGCTCATGCCAGACCTGTATGTAGATCTACGCAAAGCAAGATCAGACTAGTGCTGAACCCCCAAACCCCTTGACGATCTAATCTTGCAGGTCGTGTCCACGTATCTCGCCTGTGATCATGCCATGGGCCCTCGCCACCTGTGGATTTGAGCAATTGAGGATAGATAAAACGCAGTGCAAAGTTAACGAGCGCACGGAGAGCTTGTCTGCATGCCCAGTGTTGTATGTGCGCAACGCAGTACCTCTTTACTTCACATGAAGTACAGTAAGACATTGTGGACTCGCAGTGGACGATGCCTGTGAAGCCACCGCCACTCGGCACGTTGATCCGCAAGCCATTTCCTCAGCCTCCCCTACGACCCCTCGATTTCGTAGCAGACGTCCGTGGCGCTCGTCCCTCCCTCCCCTCAATAGAGCGCCTCGGTACGTCTGCCTAGGGGAGACTAGTCAGGCCCTGACTGTATGGATGCGCGTAACAGGGAGTGAGTGCATTGCAACAGCGAGCTAGAGAGATCCTAACGGTGCATTTGTTGGCTTGGATCGCTGTGGGGTACCGGTCCTTACTTAGCAAGTACTTAAGCCTCACCTTTCACCGATCGGACGACCTCTCCGAGGCCGTCATTCGTGCACATGAGGTCTAACAAGTATGTTGGGCGTTCGACGGCAAATCCTTCAAATGCGTTGCTCGCAGCGCTCGAACAGTGTCTCTCACGGAACAATTAAAGTGCGAAGCGGAGGTTGGTGGTATCGAGGTCGGCTGCGCGACAACAATAAACGTGCCTATGGATACATGTACAGTCTACAGAATGCGGTGCAGTAAGAATGGATGTCGATGCGATGCCGTGAGCCGAGACGGGATGAAAGTGCGAGCGTGGTTATATGGAAGTGATCTCAATGCGGAGGCGCAGTGGATAGGTGGATAGGTGGATAGGAGGCAGCAGCCGGCGGAAGAACGCGTTTGTGCCGGGGCGAATAGTGCGGAAAAGGTGTATGGATATGGGCATATGGGTTGGGCCGGGTGACGGGTTGAGTAGACTAGAGAATAAGGGGCGAGGGTGTCCAGACGATGTGTCGTGACAGGGTTCCGACGTGGCTGCGAGGCAAAGCGGCGGGACAACGTCGCCGTCGAGACGAAGACCACGTCCACAGAGCATCCTGCGAGGCTCTCGTCCTCCCTGCCTTCCGTCACGTCAGACCGCGGTCGTCAACTCCTCGTCACAGACAAGGGCACGACGGCGATGGGCAGGGCCAACGGCGGCGAGAGATGACCATCTACTTCCTGAACATCCTCTTGAGCGAGCCGGTCTGGCTCGCGTTGTTTGCCCGGGGGAGCGTAGCCTGGCCCTGCGCGGTGTTGTGCCGGGAGCTGGGCGCGAGCGCAGCGTACATCGCGTGCGTGTCGCGCGGGTCCTGCTGGAAGGACGAGAACGCGTGCGGGGACGCGGGCCCCGTGGGGAAGAAGCTCGCGATGGGCGAGGAGGGCGGCGAGGAGTAGTAGGACGACATGTCGATGTTTTCGTGGTTCAGGCGCGGGGTGCACTGCGTCTTCAGGTCCAAGGTGAATGAACTCCTAGGAGGTTATGTGGTCGGTCGCGGCCGCGATAGTAGTGCGCGAGGGCTGTGGAGGGAAGCTCTTCCGTGCCCGAGGGGTCGTAAGAGGAAGCGGGATGCACAGGGCAGACGGCCGCTGTAAGTATAAGAGGAGGGGAGGCGAGTTGGGCAAGAGAAGCCTGGGAGAGATCTCCCCCTGGCCTCGCCTATTTATCCACACCAACCGCTCTCGGGAGCCCACAGATCACAGATGACACTTCATCCTTGCCGCGCTTACACGCCCAGGGCCAGGCTAACGGGGCCCCAGCACATAACACTTTCCATTCCCGGCCGCAACTCCCTCCGCTGCGCGAGCTTCTCCGCTAGCGGTCGACGGCCGAGGACAAGGGCGCTGCCAAAACGGGACACGCTCACATGACGCCGAACCACACCCGCTTGCCGTTTGCGGCTCAAAGGCAGCGTACGGATACGGTTTCGCGTGGTTCGCACGCGCGGCGAGCCCATCTCGACATCAGGGTGGAATTCGTTCGCCGTGCGCGGATATCTCTATCAGAACGCTCACGTTGGAACCTTGGGCTTGCTGGGGGGCGAGGCGGTGGAAGCGAGGAATGCAGAGAATTTAGACGCTGTGCATATACGTGCATATGCCAGATATCAGGCTGCCAAGGACAGCTCAGGCCGCCAGAAGCAAGCTTGCTTCCCAGCGCACCTCGACGAATCTGGCTCGCTGGAGCGCGAAAGTACGTCGCTCAAGCGAGCCAGATCCGCATGCCACACATATCAAGAATGCTACCACTCACCCACGGGATCCACAAATGGACCAACATCACAGACAAGGTCGAGTCAAGCAATGCGTAAGAGTAGTACAACGCACCTCGACTGTCGACATCAACGGACGTTATGCACGAACGTCAAAGCTTCGAATTCCGCATCTTTGCATGCGAACGCAATCGCGGGTGCTGCACACCTCGCGCGCTCCGACTCTAAGATTGCCTTTGTATTCACCCACGAGGCTGAGCTAGCCTGCTACTAGTTATCCACGATCGGTACAAGGAGGGGTCGGGGCTGCCGCCGACGCGTCTGTGGCTGCATCTGCGTCCGGTGCTACTGCTGCTGCTGTTGCTGTTGCCGCTGAAAGCGCGAGCTAAGGCTATAGGGTACTACCGCACAAGGCGGGGTGCGAGGGTGTGTATCGTACGGGTACGGGTGCGGGTGTGCGGCGGCGACGTGTTTGGTATCGCGGGAGAGATTAACATCGGACACGTAGGGTTTCAACTCCGGGCGCGGACTATATGACAGGGTGGGGGAATACGATGCGAGTGCGAGTGCGGGGGTGAGCAGCAAAGACAAGAGGAGTGAAGAAGGGGAGAAACCGTGAACGAGAAGATGGAGAGAAGACCGAGAAATCCGAGGAGAGAGGAAAAGAGATGGAGAGGAAGGGAAAGGCAGAAGGAGTGGGATATGTACACACAGCGAGACGACCCATTGCGACGGTGAGTGAGTGAGTGAGTGCGGAAGTACAGCGGCAGTGATATGTGTTCCGGCGTGATTGTGGTTGTGAGTGCGATGTGAGAGACGGACTGGGGGGCGGAGGGATGTGCGAGTGCGTCATGCCAACAATGCCAGAGTGCCAATGTGAATGTCAGTGCCATGCCAATGCGAGGAGGGTAGAAGGGAGAAAGAGGCAAGCGGGTGAGTGTGTGTCCATCGAGCATCGAGTCCGTGCGCAAGTGCCTGTGCATAAACCATCATACGCATATGCATGTCGCGTACCGGGCGTACGCCAATGCCAGAGAGTTAGAGCTAGAACCAGAGACGAAGCCAATCGCCGGTGCTATAGCAGCGCCGTCGCGTGCTCGCCCGACGCGACGAGCCGGCCCCAGTCTCCTCGCCAGCGCGCCATGTCCGCACGCAGCTTCTTGTCGCCGAGGACCTTCTCGATCCAGAGCATAAGCGCGTTCTCGTCTTCGGGCACAAAGAATGACGACAGCAACGAGAGTACTGTCTCGAAATTCGCCGACGTCGACGTGATGTGATCTGCAGCACTCGTGTCAGCCACATTCCACTCATGTTTCATCCTCTTCAGTCTCTCAAGAGCAATTGCGCGTACCTCGATATACCCAGACGATCGCAACCGCAACGACGACAAAGATGTCGTGCCCCTCAAGCAGGAACGCGTCCCACAACCGGAGCTGCGTCTGGAACGGGACCGAGTTCGCGAAGAGCGTGATGTACCACTTCGTCGCGTACGACGTTGTGGACACCATGTGCCGCTTGAACGCGTCGTACACCGCAGGCAGCATCTGCTCCGTCAGCCGCTCCTGCACGTAAATCGCCTCGAGCAGGCCCGGGAAGCCCGGGCTGAAGATCGAGTGCATGCTGTACGAGTCGTGCAGCCGCACCAGCGACGCGTACGCCCGCTCCGGCTCAAAGTAGCATAGCAGCGTTGCCGCGATCGGTCCCATGCCTTGACAATACCCACACGTGTCGCATCGCAGTGACAGGGAATGCAAGACGTGGAATAATGACCGTTGCCTGCGCGTCGAGACATCCCATTCAGCCGCACGTCAAAACGAAACACATATATCTATATGCATGGAGACACTCACCCTTGCCCGTACCGCGTCCGAAACATGACATGCCCGCTGATCGTCCGGGGAACGTCCAGGTCGATCTGCACGTCGTACGACGATGGCTTGTCCAACGCCTCCTGGTACTCCTTCATCAGCTGCCGGAGCTCCGCCTTGCCGGTGCGCGAGTAGCGGCACATCAGTACCTCCCACGCCGCACTCCGCCAGCAGTCCGGGACGCCCTTGTACACGCGCTCGCGCAGCTTGCGCTCCTTGGACGGCTTCACGCCCCACATGTCGACGTTCCCGCCCTGGTCCCGCGACGTCGCCACGAGCATGCGCCCCCATTTGGCCACGCGCGACGTCTCCTTGGGCGGGGGCGGGCTCTCGGGCTGCCTGGGAAGTAATGGGGGTGATGGCGATCCTGCTGTATGCGCCGTAGTGATCCGCGCGAGGGGACGTTGCAGCGGTGCGGCGGGAAGGAGGATGAGGCGGTCATGCGATGGTGTTTGGAAGAAGCCATATCTTCACCGGGACCCTCAGCGAGAAAGAGGGACACTGGGAAGTGGAGGACGCACCTGTCCAAACTCTGCAACAACT